TTTCACGCCATTCTCCTGCCTCAGCCTCCCGAGTAGCTGGGATTACAGGCGCCCGCCACCACGCCCGGCTAATTTTTGTATTTTTAGTAAAGACAGAGTTTCACCATATTGTCCAGGCTGGTCTTGAACTCCTGACTTTGTGATCCACCTGCCTCGGCCTCCCAAAGTGCTGGGATTACAGGCGTGAGCCACCGCGCCTGGCTTCTGCTTTCTATTTTACTCATTTATTCACTCCGTCACTAGAGAACGCTGGCTTACAGCTGATGTGCCTCAGACACGGGTGCACTCAGAGAGCACAGAAGCGAGGTGGACAAAGTCTGGGCCTTTGCAGTGTGACACGGCCATTAGGGCCCACAGGTCCTTCCCTGCGGCTGCTGCCTCCCTTTCTTCAGGTTCCGAGGAAGCGTTCCCTGGCCACCTTCATAACCCTGACCTCCTCCCTCCCTCCAACCTACCACCATCAAACGCACCAGCTGCGCTCCTCTTTTCCTGTGCTGTCTGCCGCCCTGTGCTAGAGTGGGCTCCAAGAGGAAAGAGATCCCTGTCATGGCCATGTCGCAGTGCCAAGGAGAGAGGCGGCTCATAGGAAGTGTCGAAAAAAGTGTGGAATCCATAAACAGCTCTTGGTTTAATGGCAGGAGATGTACAGGCCTCACCTCCACTGCCAGCCCTCACCTCCACTGTCCAGCCCTCACCTCCACTGCCCAGCCCTCACCTCCACTGCCCAATCCCCACCTCCACTGCCCAGCCCTCACCTCTGCTGTCCAGGCATCACCCTTGCTGTCCAGTCCACACCTGCAATGTGCAGTCAACGCCTCCACTGCTCAGGCCTCATCTGTGCCACTTAGCCCTCACCCATGCCATCTAGCCCTCACTCATGCCACCCAGCTCTCACCCCCTCCATCCAGGCATCATTCCTGTCACCCAGTCCTCACCTGCATGGCACAGCCCTCACCTCTGCCACCCAGGCCTCATCTACACTGCCCAGCCCTCACCTCCCCCGTCCAGCCCTCATCTCCATCATGCAGCCACTGCCTCTGCTGTCCAGTCCTCACCTATGCCACATTGTCTGCACCTACACTGTACAGCCCTCCCCTGTGCCATCCAGCTGGCACCTTCATTGTAACGCAACAAGAGCTGGAAGAGGGGAGGCCCTGGTCCCTGGATGTGGAAGCCCAGAGCCGCCTAGGACTGCAGAGATCTCTTAACGGCCAAATGTGGAGCTGGGTGTTGACATCCAATGGAACATGCTAAACTAAATGAGTAGAAGAGCACTCCAGGTCACCCAAACTGCGCGGGAGAATCCAGGCACGAGGAAGTGCTAAGCAGAGCCCTCATGGGCTGTGGGGGAGTGGGTGGAGGCACTGGTGACAAGGCAGGTGGGGTTGAGGGAAGGTCCCTGAGCTGCCATACTGGGGCTGGAGGTGTGATCTGGGAGCAGAGAGCCATGGTTGATTATGGAGAGTGACACAAACACGGTACTAGCATCCAGAATGACAGTCAGGTGGGGTGGCAGTCAATGTGTGGCCCAGATGGGAAACTGAGGCTCTGAACTAAGTCAATAATGAGAAGGAGAAACTGAATATAATTCAGAATACTTTCACAATTTAGGCAAAAAAAAATTTTTTTTAAGTTGCCAGTTCACTTTGAGGTTTTTACCTGGAATAAGTGGATGGTGATGTTTTTCACTGAGATGGCGGCGAAAGTTTCAGTGGAAAGATAAGATACCTAGGCCAGGCGCGATAGCTCACACCTGTAATCCTAGCACTCTGGGAGGCTGAGGCAGGCAGATGACTCGAGGTCAGGATTTCCAGACCAGCCTGGTCAACAATGAAACCCCGACTCTACTAAAAATACAAAAAATAGCTGAGCATGGTGGCGTGCGCCTGTAGTCCCAGCTACTCAGGAGGCTGAGGCAGGAGAATTGCTTGAACCCAGGAGGCAGAGGTTGCAGTGAGCTGAGATCGTGCCACTGCACTCCAGCCTGGGTGACAGAGCGAGACTCCATCTCAAAAAAAAAAAAAAAAGAAAGAAAGAAAAGATACCTAGTTCTGAATATGATACAATTGCTAGTGTTAGTAATTCAAGCACATAATGACCTTCCACTACTAGCTTGGAGAGAAGCATTGCTTTCTAGGTGACAAAGCATTGTCCCCTCACAGGGCAAGAGAAATGCTCTCGGGTACAGCAACAGCCCTGCTGAGAAGGGGCTGGTCTGGAGGATTTTCATGGGAACCTGGTTTTCTTCTCTCACTTTTATCTGTGGTGTCTTTTTCCACGGTAAGTTCCACTCATCCCTGGGCCTAGTTCACGGCTCCTCTTTTCCACGGTGCTGCAGATGCTCCAGGCAGAAGCTTCCTCTGGCTGAGACCCAGGCCAGCTGCCCCTACTGGCTGCTCTCCGTCCTGAGATGTGCCTGCTCCTCTGCCCCCCTCGTACTCCCAGCTCTGATCCTAGAGCCCTGCCTGCTCCTCCTTCCACACATACAAGCCTCAGACCCTGCTCACACGGGAGCCCTTTCTCAGTCACCTCTGCCCAGTGTTAACAGCGAGAACCATGTGGTCAGAGTTGCATCTTTCCGAGTTGAATCTGGAAAATGCACATGACCTACTTGTTTAATGATGTAAAAACATGTGCTTGGATCTGATCTCCATCAACGAACCTTAAACGCAGAGTCTTCCCCTTCTCCCGTCTCCTGCGACTCATGAGTGCCTTATACTTAAGTGATCTGATGCAGGTTATCAAACGCTTATGTTCTACCTGCTACTAAGCTCTAGGCCAAAAAAGGAATATTAAGAGATCTAAGCATTTGCTTGTGCTGGTGTTTTGAACCCTCCAGCACCTCATCAGTGCTTTCTTCCATTTAGCTGATGTGACGATGGCAGGAAACCAGCACTCGGCATACGATGTTTTACTCCGCAACCCATGCCTCCCACCAGGATGTAACCCTGTTGGCATCCCAGTCCGCTCTCAAATGCTCAGACTAATATAATAAATACACACTACTTAAAAAAAAGAATGACTTGTTTAAAAACAGCAAAGGCAGCCGATTGCAGACAGCCTCTGAGGAGCTGCTTTCCTTGACCCCCCAAGGCTATAAAATAAATGCAATTTGAATAGGAAGGCTGTTCAAATCCACCAGCTCATCTGGGAATAATGAAGATAAAACCCGAGCCTTGAGCCGTGTTTGCAAAATGACTCAAAAAAAGAATTGACATCATTTAAAGGACTCTGAGGCTTAAGGGTCCACACCCTGAAGTATACCCACTGCCCAAGGACACAGAGCAAATGCAGGAATAATGCCCTTCCAGGTGCAAAACAAATCAGACCTTGTCCCTTTCACAGGCATCCAAACACAAATCACCAGTTCCCGACAGAAACAAATCCTGCCCTGCCACGCCGCAGAAAAACACTGGAGACAGAAATGAGCTCAGAGAAGGGCTGAGGGACAATGACAACGTGGGGACCCTGGACCCTTGGGCTCCAGTAGCCTTCCCCCAGCATGCAGAAGAGGGCTGAGCTCCTCCCTCTATTATAGAGGAGGCAAAATAAAGGGACTGCTTCCGTGAAATCCCTGATCATCTCCCTCTGTCCGTCTGAAGAAGCTGTCAGGCCTGGCTGGGGGCTGCCTGTCTCAGGGAACCGGCTCTTACCACAGAGCTCATTTCCGGAGGGGCAGAGGGCCATCCTGCGTCTCCTTTAATGCCTGCGGGGGACACACAGGCCACTTAGTCTAGGATCAGGACTGCCAACACCTGCTTTCGCACTATCCCATCTGCCTGGTAAACCTTTGTCTCTCTCTGAACATTCTGCATTTCAGATTGTCTTGTAGACACCATGAAGCGAGGTTTTGCCTTGAGCCAGTTTGAAAATCTCTTCTTTAAATGGGCAAGTAAAGCCAAATATTCACACGCATTGATACAGCTGGCTTTTTTGGTAAATTATGTTGACAATATGGTTATTCTTGGGATTAAATATTTCACGTGTTAAACACAATGCCTGGCACAGTGTAAGTTCTATTGTAAATGTGTGTTGCATAAAACATAAATAGGATGTTAGCATGATTAAGATAAAGAAAAGGATTTAAAGAGAGAAGAGGCCAGGAGACCTGGGAGAAGACAATGCCAACAGGTCGTCTTAACAACACATGGAAAGTTCCCACGGCACAGCCCCCAGACGCCTCACTCCACGAGCGAAATCCCTGCACGGCAGGCCGAGACCGTGGGCACAGCAGTCTGCCTGACGAGAGCCATGTCATCACATATCTAGAAGGAAAGGGCACTTCTGGTTCTGGAACATACGACGGAGGCACATTTTGCTGGGGGCTCCATGTACATTTCTAAATACGTGTCAGTGCAGGGACCCTCTGATAAGAAGGAAGTGAGGCCTGACAGAAACTGCCCTTCCAGTAACCCGGAAGAGACTGCTCTGACGGAGACAGGGGCTGGCTGCTCTGTGAATACACCCAAATCTCCTAGGGCAGGAGTGGCAAAGTCACCGTTCCAGGACACACCCGTGACCACACAAGGATTGCAACAAGGGAGCAGCTGGCTAAGGAACGATGTCCTGGGGCTCTGGCCACATGGAACAGACCCAATCTGAGCTACAGACACCGCCCGGGCCCACCAGGCATCGGCATGGGTGCCTGCCATGCGCAGAGCTCTTCGTCTGGACGGGGTCCCTGCGCCAAGAAGGCAACAGGCTCTGAGGGGTAAACTCAAGCAAGAGAGTCCCCTGAATTGGCGGCATCTGTCCAAAATTCCAAGTATGCCTGCCTGATTTACCAGGGCACTGAAGAGCTTAATCAAGAAGAAAAAAAAAAACAATCTGTGAGCTTTATCCAAAGGACAAAACAGCCACTGAGGCATGGGACAGTTCCTCTCTCCCCATGTACGCTGCACACACTCACTCTACGTGGACCACAACATCCAATTCACAGGCATGGAAGGGAAACAGCAAAGCAAACAGAAAGGCTTGCTGTGAAAAAGCACACACGAAACTTCACTTTGGAGTTGTTTTTTAGAAAGCTGCAGTTTGTGAATTTCTCTTGCTTTTTAAAACAGAATATTTCCAAAACGTGGGCATCAGTGCTTTATCTTTTTAGGTGGGGGATAGAAGACTGGGCCATCTTCACAGACCCTCAGACCCCTGCTCTCGGTGTCCCCATCTGCCAGCCACGCTTTCTGCTTGGGGGACAGCTGCTCCCCCGGCTCAGTGCAGTTTTGCAGCTGCTGGTCTTGCTTAGTGAGGCACAGTTCTATCTGACCAACTGTCTGTACTTCTTCATCCTAAAAATAAACGATGAAAGACACTTTAGAATTCAGATCTTGGATTATCATCAAGGTCTTATGATCATGAACTTTCAGAACTTGAAGATAACAAAAGCAGAGGCTCCACACCACAGGTTCGAGTTTCCAAGAACAGACCCCTTCATTTAGCAGAAGGCTGACATGCACTAAATTGGAGCGGGTGGCTCTAGGCGACTTGCCTGTTGGCAGTGGAGCTGGGCTTGGGGCTTGGATCTCCTGGTCACCACCAGAGGCCAGCCTGGCAGCCCCGGTGAAAAGCCTCTGCTTTTATCTTAGAGAAAATTAACAAAGACACAGATACAACAGCACTCAACATACCTATTAAGATATTAGGAGGAGGCCGGGCGTGGTGGCTCAAGCCTGTAATCCCAGCACTTTGGGAGGCCGAGACGGGTGGATCACGAGGTCAGGAGATCGAGACCATCCTGGCTCGATCGACGGGGTTTAGTGGAAACCCCGTCTCCACTAAAAAATACAAAAAACTAGCCGGGCAAAGTGGCGGGCGCCTATAGTCCCGGCTACTCGGGAGGCTGAGGCGGGAGAATGGCGTAAACCTGGGAGGCGGAGCTTGCAGTGAGCTGAGATCCGGCCACTGCACTCCAGCCTGGGCGACAGAGCAAGACTCCGTCTCAAAAAAAAAAAAAAAAAAAAAAAAGATATGAGGAGGAAAAACGACTTTTGTAGGCCAAAAGGGCAACAGTACCCTATTGCTAAAAGAACAGGTATATTCTTGTTAAAGATAAGCAAGAAGACAATCCTGTCCTCACACGCTGTCAAGGAACCACCACGCCTGCTCACACAGCACATGCACACAGATGCACAGGACCATGCTCACACACAGCACATGCACACAGATGCACAGGACCATGCTCACACACAGCACATGCTCCCACAGACACACATGCACACCCACACTCACAGATGCGCAGGCCTGTGCACACATGCAGAACATGCCCATACGTGCACACATACACACACAGCACATGCACACAGATGCACAGGACCATGCACACACACAGCACATGCCCACATATACAGACACAAATGCACAAATACAAGTCTGCCCATGGGAACTGTATGGTGAAGACAAAGCCATCAGGAAACTAGAACCTGTCTTCTTGAGAAAAAAAGGAAGACACAACATAACTGTCTAACCTGGCTTGGCGGAAGGCACTGGATTTTGGGTATCACTCCATATACTCTGGCGAGGGCATCTTTAAAATCTGCAACCTGATATTAAATACAAGTGTATTAGAAATTAAACTTCAACAGAAAAGATCTGACAGTTCTGGGCTATCCCAAGCGCAACAGTGGCAGGGTCCTGCTCTACCCCAGCTGGCAGGGACAGAACCCAGCACAGGTGTGAGAATGAAGCTCCCATTCCCACCAGCAAAGCAGAGGATGCTGTCATCCTGGGCTTCATCCCCAGACCACAAGCTACTCACTGCAGCTCTGTTTTCTCTCTACTCCTGTTTCTCTGGAGAGCGGAGCTCTCCTCCTCCCAGTGTCTTTCCGGGCCCCACACTCCCTCCCAAGCTGTCTCACCTGAAATGCCACCTGCCACAGCCACCCTCATCCACCAACTCCTACTCCGCTTTTCATGGCCCACAAAGTTTTCTCAGCCCTGCCCACTCTGAAGTCTCCCTCTCTCCCGACCCACTTCCCACGGCGGACACATTCTCCTTCACAGAAGGCAGGCCCTGGGAGCCCTCAGGTACCAGTCCCAAAACTGCAAACCTAGACCCCCGTGTGCTCCAACCTCCTCTCGGACGAGAGGCCTCCTCCCCGCTCTACTGAGGGAATCCTCTCCCACTGCTTCTGCCTCGTGCCTTCTGAGTCAAACCTCCTAGGAGGACACCTGCATCCTCTAAGCCTCGTGCTCTGGCTTTGGGGGGCACCGAGCTGGGGTCACCAGCTCCAGCAGATGCCTTTTGCCCCTTGCCTGCCTGTCTGCGCAGACACTGTCCACTCCTTCCAGAAAGCTCTCCTGTGACCTCCTGAGCACCTGCTCCACTGACCGCCTGGCTACTGGCTGCCATTCCTGCCCCAACGCCTTGGCCTCCTTCACACTATCGCTTCTTCTCCAGCTGCATGGCCATGGGCCAAGACTCCCCCACCATGTGGCCTACTTGGAGGGTCTCTGTCCCTAGTCTCTCCCCAGCACCAGGCAACCACAGCAACAAGCAAACACCCCAGCCTACTCAGAGCTCAGCGCTGCTGGAGGATGAGGTCCTCACGTCTGTGGCTCCCACCTGGCCTCTTCCCAAACTTCCTGCTCTCCCTCGATCCCCCTCAAGTGGCAACTGGTCTCATATCTTCCAGCCCCCAGCTCTGCTCCACTGAGCCACTCCCCCCAGGGCCTGGGCAGGCTGCAGGCCCCCATCTCAGCAACGTATTTCCCAGGAAATGTCTGGGTCAGCAACTCTCCTGGGTTTTCCCACAGCCCTGATTTTCCCATAAAACAGATGAGTGGACAAGTGGCTGGATGCTGGATGTAAAAGCAGAAAGTCTCTCCTGACGATCAATCAAACTCCTTTCAAAGGACAGAATTCTGAGTATCCACTGTGCTGTTTCTGATGCCCAATCAAACGCCATTAGCACCTGGAAGCAGCTCAGCAAGTGTGTGGTCGCTGTGGCTTTCACCACTGGAATCAGTTCCCTGAACGCCAAGTTCTGGGCAAACATGGCAGGCACATTCCCCTCATCTATTCGCACATGAGTCTGGGTGAGGACTGTGAGGGCCCTGCAAGCAATCATCTTACGGCTTCCCGGGGCTGGGGTTGTGGGGGAGTCTGCAAAGGGCTGGCAGACTCCCTCCTCAAGTCCACTGCTCCCCACACCCTGGAAAAATGGCTGCACAGGTAAGCAGACACCACTGAGAGCAAAGACACTGTTGCCAGTTTATTTCACCAACTGTCAAGGCACCAAAATAATTGTTCAGCATACAGCCATCACCCCAGAACTGCTAAAATCAGTGACTTTCAACCTTTTTCTAAATCTACAACACGTGATAAATACGAAAACTATCTCAAAGAATCCGATACATTTCTCTAAGGCAAGAGTCTGCAAACATTTTCCGTAAAGGTCCACGTCGTAAATATCCCAGGCTTTGTGAGTAACACATGGGTCTCTACGGCAGCTACATCATGGGAGCACAAGCATCCCCAGGTAATAAAGGATTACAATTTTGTTGACAAAAACAGGCAACCAAGAGTGGAAAACAACTACTTTTTCTTTCCTTTTAAGAGACGTGATCTGGCTGTCACCCAGACTGGAGTGCAGTGGGGCGATCATGGCTCACTGCAGCCTCAAATTCCTGGGCTCAAGCAATCCTCTGACCTCAGCCTCCTGAATAGCTGAGACCACAGACACATACTATCATGCTCAGTTGCTTTTACTTCTTTGTAGAGGTCTCATTCTGTTGCCCAGGCTGGTCTCGAACTTCTAGCCACAAGCAATCCTCCAGCCTCAGCCTCCCAAGGTCCTGGGATTTACACCACACCTGGCCAAAAACAACTTTTTGTATATGCTTACCAGCTAATAACATCTTGTCATGCTTAAATGTCTATAGTTTTTTTTTTTTTTTTAATCATAAAACAAACCACAAACATAAGACTATGTTACAAAAGTGAATGTGACTCTTCAAACTGCAGACTCCACCTGCTCTGCCAGACCCTGGGGCACACGCTTCTCACAAAAGGAGCCGTGAATCTGTGCTTCCAAATCACTGGTCTAAGAAGCCTTCAGTTCATACGCAACATGCACAGAAAAATAAAATGCAAATAAAATCTGTTTAAATGATAACGGTTAAGTAGGAAGGGAGTTTGCATTGGGTCACTTTACAGTCCACTGACTCAGAGGCTGAAATGGCCCTGCTGGAGGTCCCCAGGAGATACACATGAGAAAAGAAGCAAAAGCAAGACTTACTTGATAGTAATTGATGGATGGTTTTATCCCCAATTTTAGGAGCACACTAAAATTTAAATTTAAAAAAGTTAGCTGTATCTCAAAAAGAAAAAAAAAAGTTAGCTGTATAATGAAGGTCCATTTTCCTTTCTTGTTCTTTTCAGACATCACATTTCATGGCAAAAATTAAGACACTCTTAAAGGAAAGTGTTTTCTATGACTTTATGCAACAAATGTGTCAACATGGACAGCAAATAGATGGTTCCCAATCCCCACCTTCCCACCCCTCAGCACACACACTAACTGCTCCAGACACCCTTTCCAGTTCCTGACTCCTTCTGAGCATGGGATCACAGGGGCCACCACCAAGTGGAGGTGGCACACAGAGCACCACCCATTTGCCACACCTGCTTTAAAAGATAGCAAATGAAATTGGATTCCAGGCTTATCCTGGTAAACTGCATTTGGTCAAATCTTCAAACACCGTCATGCGCCACATTTCGACATTCAGTCGGTGACGGGCTGCAGGTACGAGGGCGGTCCCATATGATCATATTTCTACTGTGCCTTTTCTATGTTGAGATATGTTTAGATACACAAATTCTTACCACTGTGTTACATACAGGTGCCTACAGTACTCGGTACAGTCACACGCTGTACAGGTTTGTAGCCTCACAGCAACAGGCTATACCACAAAGCATAGGTGTGTCGTGGGCTGTATCAGCTAAGTAAGTGCACTCCAAGATATTCACATAATGACAATTTTATACCCCATCACTAAGCAATACACAACCATATGTTAAGTCCCTATAGCTTTCAATCGCCTCCTAAAGCACTGCTACACAGAATCCTACCAAACTACTATATACAGAATTGACTTATTAAATTATAAAGGTACACTGTAAAAATTCTGAATCATTCCAGAAGAATATCCTAGTTCCCCATATTCAAGCCTTTGTAGAAAATTCTAGATCATGATCACAGAGTGGACACAAGGACTTTGACAGCCTCTGTGGGCACTAACTGATTGTCAGACTGTCTTGGCCACAGAGTTCCTGGAACAAGGACTGAGATGCCAGGCCAGGGTCCTTTCAGCCCCAGACATGGCCCGAACCCACAGGACCTCGCATACCCTAGCTGTTGGTGTTGTATGAATAACAGGTTTCAGACTTTGCAGCAAAAAAAAAAAAAAAAAATGTAAACTAGCTCATGAATTTTTTGATATTTATCCTAAGTTTCAATGATCCTATTTTTGAATATTGAGTTTAATAAAATATTTTTGAAATTAATTTAAACTGTTTCTTTTTGCTCCTTTTAATGATGCTACTAGAACATTTTAAATGACATCTGTGGCTCGTGTTACATGTCTATTGGGTACCATGCTCCTGACCTGGGTGATCAAGGGAGTAAGGCAAAGAGAGAAAGATGTGGGGGAATGCAGCACCTAGCCCAGCACCATGCTTTCTGCTGAGTTGCGATGAGCTTGGCACTCATCCCAGGTCTTTATCTGTGGGTACTCTAGGACGTGCCATCAGCTCATCTGAGTCTATGGGAACCCTGAGAACTTTGCGTCAAGATGATTTGTGGTTTTTCAGGTTTGCTGCCTTCATACTATGAAGTGAAGAAAAAAATGTTACAGTTTTGTATTGTATTTTATTTTTTTTGACACAGAGTCTTGCTCTGTGGCCCAGGCTGGACTGCAGTGGTGTGATCTCGGCTCACTGCAACCTCTGCCTCTTGGTTTCAAGAGATTCTCCTGCCTCAGCCTCCTGAGTAGCTAGGATTAGGTGCACCACCATGCCCAGCTAATTTTTGTATTTCTAGTAGAGATGGGGTTTCACCATGTTGGCCAGGCTGGTCGTGAACTCCTGACCTCATGATCCACCCGCCTTGGCCTCCCAAAGTGTTGGGATTACAGGCATGAGCCACTGTGCCCGGCCTGTTACAGTTTATGATAATTTGAAAAGCCAACCTATGAGAAAAAGATAATTTGTGATACCAGTTTACGAGGAAAAATGAGGGGTCTTAAATTTTGACTTCTTAATTTTATTTTTAGATTAAAATTAAGGCACTAAGAATTATAGATTTCCCTTGCAGAAACTAAGAATATAATTTTCCTGTAATTGTTCTTTATAGGTTCTAGCAAACATACTCTCAGTAGTGCTTTGCCCTCGCAGGCCCTCGGTGAACATTTACTGAATGAATGAATGAATGAATGAATGAATGAATGAATGAATGAATACAGGACCCATCATCCCCATCTACATCAATGGCGGGGCAGCACTGGGCCCTGCTGAATCCCCACAGGGACTCCAGGACTTAAGAGTTTTGCACGTGTCTCGTGTGTGTGTGTCTTAGTCTGTCCAGTGTTGCTATACAGGAACACCTGAGGCTTGGTAATTTATTTAAAAGAGAGGTTTATTTGGCTCACGGGACTGCAGGCTGTCCAAGAAGCATGGAACCAGATTCTGCTTCTGGCAAGGGCCTCAGGAAGCTTCCGCTCATGGCAGAAGGCAAAGGGGAGCTGGTGTGTACAGAGATCACATGGCCAGAGAGGAAGCCAGGGGGTGGGGGCGGTGCCAGGCTCCTGTCAACAACCAGCTCTTTGGGGCACTGAGTGGGAACTCGCTCACCCCTGCAAGAGGGCATTAATCTATTCATGAGGGATCCTTCCCCACAACTCAGACACCTCCCACCTCCACACTGGTGATCAAATTTCAACATGAGATTTGGTGGGGATAAACCAACCACATCCAAACCATAGCAGGAAAGCTACTGAGTTTCAACAAGTATAAGTAGGAGCCACTTAATAAGCTATTTGTTGGATACAGAGATGAATTATTTAGAAAACTGATTTTAAAATTTTCGGCAGTATCCATTTATCCTCCTTTCTCTGTTTGATTAAATGAACTGGTTTATGGAGTCAGCCTGGAAAGCACCAGCACTCCGCGGCAGGGTCGGGACCGTAAGACCCATATTTTGAAACAGAGGGCATCTCTCTTGTTATCTCCAAAGTGGTTCCTACCTTCCAGTCTTTCAGCGATGACAGACTTTCTTTTGAATTGTAAGTCTCCTGTGCTCCAGGAGCTACCTAAGACACTCTCTTGGTTAACCGTCATCATGACTTTTTTTTTTTTTTTGAGACAGTTTTACTCTTGTTTGCACAGGCTGTAGTGCCATAGCACGATCTCAGCTCACTGCAACCTATGTCTCCTGGGTTCAAGTCGTTCTCCTGCTTCAGCCTCCCGAGTAGCTGGGATTACAGGCATGCACCACCACACCCGGCTAATTTTTGTATTTTCAGTAGAGATGGGATTTCACCATGTTGGCCAAGCTGGTTTTGAACTCACCTCAGGTGATCTACTCACCTCAGCCTCCCAAAGTGCTGGGATTATATGCACGAGCCACCACACTCGGCCCACAATGACTTTTGAACAGCTAATTAGCTACATTTTTTGGGTGAGAAAATGTTTCCTAAAATATTGCTCTTACTGCAAGAAAGCAATGCTTCCTCTATTAAAAACCTAAGATTAAATTATATAGAGCAAATTATATACACAAACTATATACAAATCAAAGTGTGGAGGTCTGTGTACATTTCTTAGCGTATGTACTTGGTAGTGCAGATTTTAAGAGCTAGAAGAGACTGCAGGGTTGATGGCAACCTATCTATTTATTTTACAGCATGGAAAGAAGATCTAGAGGTCAGATACACAAATTGTACAACTAGTTAGTGTCAGAACCAGGATGAAAAGGCCCACCTAAAGCCGTGCGCTCTGGGAAGTGATTTTTAAAAAAGCTTATTCACAGGGCATTATTTGATGTAATCTTGGTCCCCGCTAACCGTGCCAAGCCCCTCTTCTATCAGCGCCTGAGCTCTATCCCACCCAAGTCGCAGCTGTTAGACCGCATTTCATCAGATGACACAGGAGACCATCTGTGTGAGACAATTTTGTGCATTGAGGTAAAGCACATGTCTAGATAAGCAATGGAGGTTTATTCATCTTTTAAGCAGATTTAATTCAGAAACCTTAAATACAGCTGATTAGCAAAGGCTCCTGGTATTATTCTGATTTGAAGGAGAATTGCTCTAAAACAAGCTGCGTAAATTGCAAAAGCAGCAACACAGAGGCTGTGCAATCGCCTGTCATGTTTTTTTAGCACTTCACTGGTTTATTATGACCTCTTATGATGAAGGTCAGTGAGAACAGCTAAGACACTGACATACTGAAACGTCCAGACGGAGAGGTAAGGGCACACCCTGGATCTCTAGCGACCAGATTTGGACAGTGAGTGGGCTGGGCGTGGCCCTCGGGAGGCACTTTGTTTTACAAGTTCACTGGTTCAAGTGGTGACAACATATTCCCCTTCTCGAGAACTGAGATGAGGGCAGGCAGGGACGATTCAGGCAGGTTTGGATCATTTCTGGGTTTTTTTTTTTTTTTTTTTGAGACGGAGTCTTTTTTGAGATCAGTGGCCGGATCTCAGCTCACTGCAAGCTCCGCCTCCCGGGTTCACGCCATTCTCCGGCCTCAGCCTCCCAGGTAGCTGGGACTACAGGCGCCCGCCACCTCGCCCGGCTAGTTTTTTTTTTTGTATTTCTTAGTAGAGACGGGGTTTCACCGTGTTAGCCAGGATGGTCTCGATCTCCTGACCTCGTGATCCACCCGTCTCGGCCTCCCAAAGTGCTGGGATTACAGGCTTGAGCCACCGCGCCCGGCCCATTTCTGGGGTTTAAAGAGCCCTGGCCAACATCTCTTTCCTGCCTGCTTGTTCCAGGAGCTCTGTGACAAAGACCCACAGACTTTCTGAGGTTCCGTCTTTCTAGGGAAAAGGAAACGACCTGTTAATGCACCATCCTTTATCAGGAATCATGGCTGAGAAAGGCACGCGCTGGTTGGAGTTCTCATTTTCCCTACGGCAGACTCTGATGATGAGATGGTGCCCAGACAGGCATCCCAATACTCTGCACCCACTCTGTGTGATCATGGTGTAGAATGATCCGGAAAGGCTCGGTAGGCACAGAACATTCCTCAGGAATGATCTCACTGGCCAAACAGTGCACATGCAGAAGCTGCTGGAGGGCAGCGTGGTCTACACTCATTTCCCTGGATCCAGCCGTCAGGCTTGGGAGACAGCAGGGATCCCCACTGGGAAGAGCAGCAGGGGGAAGGGCGCACCCACCTGTTGAGGTCCAGCTCCCTGTAGAGTTCCAGGCTTCTGCCAAAGTACTTCTTCTGGGAGTTGAGCGCGTCCACCTGGGCGGCACAGGTCCCATGCTTTTCCCACTCATGCTTCCTGTGAGGATTAGAAAAAAATCTCCACTTAAAAGTAATGAGGCGCGGTGGCTCAATCCTGTAATCCCAGCACTTTGGGAGGCCGAAACGGGTGGATCACGAGGTCAGGAGATCGAGACCATCCTGGCTAACACGGTGAAACCCCGTCTCTACTAAAAAGTAAAAAAACTAGCCGGGTGTGGTGGCGGGCGCCTCTAGTCCCAGCTGCTCGGGAGGCTGAGGCAGGAGAATGGCGTAAACTCGGGAGGCGGAGCTTGTGAGCTGAGATCCGGCCACTGCACTCCAGCCTGGGCGACAAACAGTGACTCCATCTCAAAAAAAAAAAAAAAAGGAATGAAACAGGTTGGGCGCAATGGCTCAGACCTGTAATCCCAACAGTTTGGGAGGCTGAAGGGGGTGGATCACCTGAGATCAGGAGTTTGAGACCAGCCTGACCAACATGGTGAAACCCATCTCTACTAAAAATACAAAAAAATGAGCCGAGTGTGGTAGCAGGTGCCTGAAATCTCAGCTACTCAGGAGGCTGAGGAGGAGATTCGCTTGAACCGGGGAGACAGAGGTTGCAGTGAGCCGAGATCATGCCATTGCACTATAGCCTGGGCAAGAGAGAAATTCCGTCTCAAAAAAAAAAAAAAAAAAAAAAGGTGATGAAACTGATTCCTAATAAAAATGCTCAAGCATGTTTTCTCTTAGCACAGACTATTCCCGTGCAGTAGGCATGTCATTTCTTTTACAAAGTAGGAAGGATAAAATTCCTTATATGCAACATAGGCGATTATTTCAATCCCCCACGATGAAATAATCAGTTTCAGTTCACGTCTACAATTACAGCTTGCTCAATTAACAACAAATCAAAGCTGAGAAAAAAGAACACGATGCTGCCCTAACCCCCCACTGATTCACAAAGCAGCGTGTGGTCTCCTGCAGCGAGTGGGTGCTTCGCAGCCAGGGAATTTCGCAGAGTGGCACAAACTGTCATTTCTAAGCAACCAGCCACGGAAAGGCAGGACAGCTAATTACCAGGAAACACCTCAGGCCCATTTTCCATTTCAGCTGCTACAAATGATAGTTCAAGCATCCATTCTACATAGAGGACAATAAGAACAACTGAACAGCCCATAACCAAAGGGCTGCACATCAACAGCAATTTGTATTCCAGAAACATGTGGTCACCGACAATGATTTCTGATATTTTACTGCAGATTACAGGCTTACAAAAATCTTTCACGTTCTTCATTTGGTTCTCAAAACTCTGCAAGGCGAAAATATCACTGCTAGTTTAGAGACAGGGAACGGAAGCCCAGAAGGGCCAGGGGACTTGCTGAAAGGTCACTCAGAGCCTGCCCTTGAAGGCCACTCTCAAGTCCAAGGTCAGCACCCTTCCCACTGCACTGGGCTGCCGTCCAATCAACTGCTAACGAGACTGACAGCCACCTTCACAATGACCAGCGTGTCATTCAGATGTTTATCATCATTAGCATGAAAAGACAAAATGGGAATCAGATTTCCTCAGCTTCATTAGTGATGAATTCATGATGTTTTAATAAATAACATTCATGCAACCACTTATAAAGCACTTATATGCAGTCTTAAAAATACAATCTAAATGTGCATTAATTCATTGGCAAAATTCATCCAAAATACTAGTTTTAAATAATTCCTATCGACTTAAGTCACAGAAAACAATGAAAAGTTGAAAACAGGAAGGATAAAAGTGGATGAGTAACTATCTTAATCTAGAAGACTTTCCAGAGCGAATTACCTGATAACTTGTTATGTCCTATGGGGTAGAAAAAGAGAGATGATTTTAAACTAATAGAAATGTAACCTGAATTCCAGGTGACTTAGTTGCTATAAAACAGAGGTAATTCTGCAGGTGAGATGAGGTGTGCCGAGCCCTTCCACACGAATGAAAACAGTTCCTTGCTCACAATAAACTGCAAATGTCAGCCATCATTATTCTTGGAGCAAGCTTAACTCAACAGATGTTGGAAATAGACTGATATTCACGGAGCTCAACGACATTCACTCACACTTCATTTGGAACTGGACCTTTTTTAAGCATCAAAACGGTCAGTCACCAATGCGAAGTGACTCAGCGTGTTGCCCTCTATGCTGAGAGACACCCTGACTCACCCACCAAGCGTAGATGCAGCCAGGAGCGGATGTCCCGAGCTCACCCACCCACTGTCACCTGGCCCGCTGGGCCACAAGAGGCAGCCAATCCTTGGGGCCGGTTATGCCCAAAGACACATTCCACAGCAGTGCTGTGACACCTTCCTCTGCCCAAGGAGCAGAGGTGGAGAAGCCAGAGGCCAACCCCCATGGAGTTAGTCAGGTGACCTGAGTGATAGGCACAGGACTGGGTGACACAGCCCAGACAGGAGCTCCTCCCTGATCTTTTGTATTTAGGAGCACTCAAAAATATAAATATTAATTTGTGTGTGAGATTTATCCTTTTCATTTAGAACCAGACAGTTTTTTAAAGTGTGTAATTCAACTATCAGCTTGAAAATTTAAAGTAAGTCATCTTGCCTTTATCAGAGCACAAAAATAAATGCATACTTTGCCCACACTGTTTTGATTAAATGCTCAAGATCCAGCTCACTGAAGGCCTTTGCATGTTTGCTGATTTATTTTCAGCCATTTGGCTAGTCTGACAGACTCTATCATGGAACATTGTAACAACTGGAAAAATTCTCTTTCATATAACTCAGTTACCATACACTCATTATCTGAAGTACACTGTGAAGTGACATACAATTTTTTTTCCTATCTTCTTCCATTTCAACTTATCATGGCCATTATTTTGAAATAATTTTCTGGAACACAGGCTGTGCAGAACAGGTGACTGAGACCTGAACCATTCACCATCCGAATTTTCATTAAGAGTGGTTCTCTGTACTCAAGGGCGATTCAAGGCACAGATTGAGGGTCCGTGAATCCTAAGGCCACTTCACTGCCACACCGATGAACCAGGAAGACAGACATCACTTCCATTTCATTTTGTTTTAAAAAGCTTTCTTCTAAACTTAACTTTAACTTTCCTGAAAATTACACACAAAAATATTACTAGGTTAACCTTCCTACCTAAAATTTGATGGGTTGTAATCTGAATTATAAATTGCAACATTGAAGTGGGAGAAAATAATTACCTTCAGTTAACATAATCTTAATAAAAGGAATTCACTTCATGTTATTAAAAAAGCCATGATTTTTTTTTTTTTTTTTTTGAGATGGAGTCTTGCTCTGTCACCCAGGCTGGAGTGCAGTGGCCGGATCTCAGCTCACTGCAAGCTCCTCCTCTCGGGTTCACGCCATTCTCCTGCCTCAGCCTCCCGAGTAGCTGGGACTACAGGCACCCGCCACTTCGCCCGGCTAGTTTTTTTTGTATTTTTTAGTAGAGACGGGGTTTCACCGTATTAGCCAGGATGGTCTCGATCTCCTGACCTCATGATCTGCCCGTCTCGGCCTCCCAAAGTGCTGGGATTACAGGCTTGAGCCACCGCGCCCGGCCAAAAGCCATGATTTTAAAAGCTACCTTGAATTCAATGTGGCATTTAGGTCTTAGGCTCAGCTTCGGCTGAACTTAAAGGCACTTCACCCCGACTGAACTCTCAGTCTCACGTGCTAAGTCTCACTTTCTCTCTTCCCTAAGTCATAGGCATGAGATCATCATCTTAGAAGACATCTTTTTTTTTGAGATGGAATCTTGCCCTGTCACCTGGGCTGGAGTACAGTGGCGTGATCTCGGCTCACTGCAACCTCCACCTACTGAGTTCAATTGATTCTCTTGCCTCAGACTCCCAAGTAGCTGGGATTACAAGTGTACGCCACCATGCCCAGCTAAATTTTGTATTTTTAGTAGAGATGGAGTTTTGCCACGTTAGCCAGGCTGGTCTTGAACTCCTGACCTCAAGTGATCCACCTGCCTTGGCCTTCCAGAGTGCTGGGATTACAGGTGTGAACCACTGTGACTGTTCTCTTTTTTCTTCATGTACTTCAAGACAGGAGCACAATTTCCTTAAGAAATATTCTCTCCTGTCTGATATAGACTAAGTCTTAGATATGCAAGCATTTGACTTTGTTGAGCCTCAGAAGGGAAAATTCGTATCTTTCTTTTTTTTTTTTTTTTTGAGACAGGGTCTCACCCCCCCGTCACCCAGGCTGATTATCACCCCAGCTGATCACAGCTCATTGCAACCTTGAGCTCCTGGGACCACAGACACACAATACCACATCTGCCTGACTTTTTAAATTTTGGGTAGAGACGGCATTTTGTCATATTACCAGGCTGGTCTCGAACTCCTGGACTCAAGCAATCCACCCACCTCAGCCTCCCAAAGTGCCAGGATTACAGGCATGAGCCATTGTGACTGGCTGAGAAAAGTTTTCAAGCAAAGTAATAAATATCACATAGGTTAGAAAACAGGCTTATAAGGTAAATTCCACTTGCTTTCATTTTTTTATACAATGGAGAAAGGAACCAAAAATGCCATAACAGAATCATATCTCATAAAAGGTTGTTCAAACTGCTCAGCCCCATAAGACAAATTCTGTTATCTTGCTTCCCACACAGTTTCCACTTAGAGCGATTCATCACGCTCCCCACACCCGCTCAGACAGCAATCAAGACAGCAATCAGAGGCTGGGACTTACCAGAAGCGGCTGCGATTGGGAAACGAGTGAATTACATCAGGCCAGTATGCCTTCATTTCTGGCAAAAGATCCTATGCATTAAAATAAAAAAATAAATAAAAGAAGTCTATGCAGGATCTTAATAATCAACTCCAAACCCAGAAGGTAAATTTGATAAACTGACACATTCAAAGAATTGAGCTCTGCTAATTAACAATACTTGGGTGAGTAAAATAACCCTATACTTATTTTGTACAAAGTGTTTAAGATATAGCTACAAGTGCAATTTGAGTAATCATAAAACTGCACACGAAAATACAAGCTCTTACAGGTGAAGGGATAAAGTGTACATCCAAACAATGGAATATTCGCAGCAACAAAAACCAATGAACTATCAAGCCATGAAAAGCCATTGGAGGAACTGTAAACATATATTGCTAGTGAAAGAGGCCAATCTGCAGAGGCTCCATACTGTATGATTCCGATGATGTGACAATTTGGAAAAGGGAGTCTTAAGAGACAGAAATGAGATTTGCGGTTGCTAAGGGTTCAAGGGGAGGAAAGAAAGGGAGGTATGGCTCAGGGGGTCTGAGGCCAGGGGCTGCTCTGCACTGCACTGGGTGGGACTTGTTCTCCTGCATTTGTCCAAAGCCACACAACTGCACAACACAGGACTAAACCCTAATGTTAACGCTAAACTTTATTTAATAATAAAGTATCAGTATCAGTTCATTAATTGTAACAAATGTAACACACTATAGAAGATGTTAATGATTGGGAGATTTGAGGGGGAAGGGAGTGAACTGTCTATAATCTCCATCCAATTTTTCTGTAAACCTAAAACTGTTCTAAAAACATCAGCCGGACGCGGTGGCTCACGCCTGTAATCCCAGCACCTTGGGAGGCTGATGCAGGCGGATCAGGAAGTCAGGAGATCAAGATCATCCTGGTCAACCTGGTGAAACCCCGTCTCTACCAAAAACACAAAAATTAGCTGGGTATGGTGGCACATGCCTGTAATCCCAGCTACTCGGGAGGCTGAGGCAGGAGAATCACCTGAACCAGGGACTCAGAGATTGCAGTGAGCCGAGATCGAGCCAGGGCACTCCAGCCTGGTGACAGAGTGAGACTCCGTCTTAAAAAACAAACAATAAACCATCAATTAAAACAAACAAACAAAGGACAAGCTCTTCTTTTCCCAGAGAAGAGCTTGTGTGAGCTGGGCAGCCTGGGCTCCACACTGCGCCGGTCATGCTAAATTCAACAGAACTGGAGTTTACTTTTCAATTTCTACACACCCTCTACACCAAAAAAACCCAATAACAAACTTCAGATAACTTCATTTTTCTTCCCTTTCTCCTGTTTTCCAGCACCCTATATAAGGGTTTTTTCCTCAGCCCATTTGTAACGCGGCCCCCACCCCACAGCCCCTGCCCGTGTGGGCGCAGGTCTGACCCCCTGCAGCCCCCACCCCACCTCTCCTGCCCCACCATGCTGGCTTCAGCCCCATCAGCCCTCGGGATGATCTAGGCCACGATGATTGTGCAAACTGGGTTACTTCCGTTTGGGACAATGCAAAGTTGGACCTACCGCTACACAACGAGGAAGCCAGGACTACTCTGAGGAGCGGCGGCTCAGGCCACCACAGACCCATGACCCGCCGACCCCACCCAAAAGGTGTTTCAGCCTTCCTGTCCTGGATGCCCCGGGGATATGCAGTCCCATGGGGCCTCTGCACGAATCTCTCCTCTCCTGAGTTTCCGCCTTTCCCGGTTGCAGGCACACATGCCCCTTTTCACCTGGCTGTTATCACGGGGTTCCACCAGCACTGCCCCTCTGCCCACCAGGCCCACACCTGTCAGTGCTGTCCCCTTAGCCCACCCACATCTGTCAGCCCTGCCCCCTCACCTACCCATGTCCACACTTATCAGCCCTGCCCCTTCACCCACCCACATCCACACCTATCAGCCCTGCTCCCTCACCTACCCAGGTCCACACCTGTCAGTCCTGCCCCCTCACCCACCCACCTCCACACCTGTCAGCCCTGCCCCCTCACCCACCCACACCCGTCAGCCCTGCCCTTTCACCCACCCACACCCACACCTGTCAGCCCTGCCCCCTCACCCATCCATACCCACACCTGTCAGCCCTGCCCCCTCACCCACCCACACCCACATCTGTCAGCCCTGCCCCCTCACCCACCCACACCCACATCTGTCAGCCCTGTCCCCTCACCTACCCATGTCCACACTTATCAGCCCTGCCCCTTCACCCACCCACATCCACACCTGTCAGCCCTGCCCCCTCACCCATCCATACCCACACCTGTCAGCCCTGCCCCTTCACCCACCCACATCCACACCTATCAGCCCTGCTCCCTCACCTACCCACACCCACACCTGTCAGCCCTGCTCCCTCACCTACCCACACCCACACCTGTCAGCCCTGCCCCCTCACCTACCCATGTCCACACTTATCAGCCCTGCCCCTTCACCCACCCACACCCACACCTGTCAGCCCTGCTCCCTCACCTACCCACACCCACACCTGTCAGCCCTGCCCCTTCACCCACCCACACCCACACCTGTCAGCCCTGCTCCCTCACCTACCCAGGTCCACACCCGTCAGTCCTGCCCCCTCACCCACCCACACCCACACCTGTCAGCCCTGCCCCCTCACCTACCCATGTCCACACTTATCAGCCCTGCCCCTTCACCCACCCACACCCACACCTGTCAGCCCTGCTCCCTCACCTACCCACACCCACACCTGTCAGCCCTGCCCCTTCACCCACCCACACCCACACCTGTCAGCCCTGCTCCCTCACCTACCCAGGTCCACACCCGTCAGTCCTGCCCCCTCACCCACCCACACCCACACCTGTCAGCCCTGGCCCCTCATCCACCCATGTCCACAGACCCATGTACATCCCTACACCTGTCATTTTGATTCACCATCCTCATGCTAATTGTGCCTAAAGCCACCTTTCCTCTGACCCTGAAGATCCTCTATGTCACCACCTGGAGGTCTCAAGGGCACTTCAAACTCAACATATCCTGAAGTGGCCTCTTCATCACGCCTCCCCAGAGCCCATTCCCTGCAGTGGGTCCTGGAGGAGAGGAGGAGAGTCTTCGTGAGGAGCTAGAGACAGCACCAGGCTCTGGGGTGTCCCTTCTAAGTCTCGTGGCAGTCCCCAGCCTCTTGGCTTATCCCACTGAAGGTCTTCATGGGGAGGAAAAAGAAAACAATTCCATACGGATTAGAATTTGTGGGCTGGGTGCGGTGGCTCACACCTGTAATCCCAGCACTTTGGGAGGCCAAGGTGGGTAGATCACCTGAGATTGGGAGTTCGAGACCAGCCTGACCAACATGGAGAAACCCTGTCTCTACTAAGAATACAAAATTAGCTGGGTGTGGTGGCACATGCCTGTAATTCTAGCTACTCAGGAGGCTGAGGCAGGAGAATCACTTGAATCTGGGAGGCGGAGGTTGCTGTAAGCCAAGATTGTGCCATTGCACTCCAGCCTGGGCAACAAGAGCGAAACTCTAACTCAAAAAAAAAAAAAAAAAAAAAGAACTCGTGATGGATTTGCAACTAATGACCTTGGGAAATGTAGCATTCCTAGGAAGGACCCACAACTTCCACAAATCCTTCCATTCTACTGCATATTTTAAAGAAGGCCCCAGTTACCACTGCCTCCCTGGGTCCAGGACCAGTTACCCTGACATATACTGGTTACACACAGGAACTGCTGGCACCCCTAAGGAAAGATGAGGGCGTGCATACGAGTGAAGACTCCGTATGCCATATGAGGTACGGGTATCTCAAAGGAACGCCTCTGCTAGTATCTCTAATAAATTCCCACCCTGTGAGCTTTCTTTAATCAAGCTCTTGTACTGGAAAGGCCCAGCATGTCCACCCTGCTCAGAAACCCGTCCACCAGATAGGACAGCCCCAGGCCTGTGCTCTCTGAGCCTCAGCTGTCTGGAAATGCCTGGCAATACAGCACACCAACCGGATTCCCACGTGAGCCATCCGACCCAGGAGTCCTGGGACCTGGGACGAGGTAGGGCTGGCAGGCGAGCGTCAGGATCTGCACAAGGTTGGCACGGGGGAGTGTCAGGGCTTGCTCTGGTTGGAGCCCCTCGCTCAGGCCCCTCATGCAGTGGCTTGGGTACAAGGCAGGGGAGGGGAGGGAAGGAGAGGGGAAAGGTCAGTTGGTGTAATTTGTGGGGTTGAGATAGCAATACTTACTAAAACAGCACCAAGGGCTCAATCCTGGTGAATACATTCATGACCCCATAATTTTAAAGATGACTTTGAAGATACACGTGTGAAGAAAAGAGTTAATCTAGGTCAACACTCTGCAGTAGAAATATAATTAAAAATCAATACCTTAATCTCTTCTAAATTGAAGGGCCACGATCTGTTACATCCTTCACTTTTATCAGGCCTGGAAATTCAAATTTAAAAGAGAAAATAAGAAATATGAGTCTTGGTTGGGGTGGCTTCTACATGACCTTAGAAAACACTTTCATTAAAGTCTGCAAAGCATAAAAAGAGAAATTCTAATTGGGAATTCCTTATCCCATGCAGGACGCTTAAGAAAGACGACGCAGGTAAGAGTAGTCAGAGTTCAGATTTCTTTAGAAGAGAAAAGAAATTGTGTTAAGAGCATCCAGGAGTAATGTAAACAGGCTGCTGCTTAGTAAAGGAAGCGCAATGGATGGCCTAGTAGCACCTAGGAGCGGGGGCTCTGGGGTCAGCCCTGACTGGGTTGATAGCAACCTCTGCTGTTCCCTAGCACCGGGACCTAAGTCAGCTGACCCCTGGCCAATCTCCATGCCACAGATCCAGCATGAGAACAGTGAGAGTCTGTTCCTTTCAATGGTGAGGAGGACTTCAGGAGATGACAAATGTAACATGTTTGTCAGAAAGTACCTAGCGTATGACAGAAGATCAGCTAGCAGGATTTTCATTTCATTTTTAGTAGCAAACGCACTTACACTGTCTAGAACTTTAACTCCATCCTCACACATCTAATTCTGGACATATCACCTCTGACTCTTGACTGCTGCTTACTCCACAGGTCACCAACTTCCTAAGACCCCGACCCCTCAGAGCCCCAAAGAGGCCAGGGAGGGAGGAGCGTGTCTTCAGGGTCAACAGCTGGACCAGCATCTGAAACCCGCCTGATTCCATGCACTGGACTGGACGGCATTGCAAAGCTTCCTTCCAGCCTCAGAAATGAAACGGCCATGACGAGCAGAGACACAACCAGTGCAGTTGGCAACAGCAGGGGAGAGGACACCATGCAAAGTCTAGGAAAGCCAGGAGCCCCAGAGACAGGAAGTCAAGGTCATCTGAGCAGCCTGAGAAGAAAGTGAAACCCCAGTAGCTAAATTCCAATTTAACTTGTTTTCCACCAATCCCTCTTCCTAAGGAACCAGGAGGCACCAATAAAGCTAAAAGGGCCCTTTTCAATCCCGGCATCGAGGCAGCAGGACAAAACCGGTCCTTCAGATGGGGCGATTCATGCGCCCAGTTCAACGTCACAAGTATGTCCATGTTCAATAGAAAAGAATTAACTAAAGGCAGACAAAACCAGAAAAATAAATTTGAGTGTCTCCGAAATGTGTACAAGAGAGATACACACATTTATGTATTTTCATGCAGTTATTTATAATGAATCCCAAGAGAAGAACAAAATGAGAAAATTAAAATGTAGTGACCCTAACATGTACCGAGAATCTGTGAACACTATTTTAAAAAGTGTTACTGGCCGGGCGCAGTGGCTCACACATATAATCCCAGCACTTTGGGAGGCCAAGGCAGGCGGATCACCTGAGGTCAGGAGTTCAAGACCAGCCTGACAAACATGGTGAAATCCTGTCTCTACTAAAAAATACAAAAATTAGCTGGGTGTGGTGGGGCACACCTGTAATTCCAGCTACTTGGGAGGCTGGAGCAGGAGAATCACTTGAACCTGGGAGGCGGAGATTGCAGTGAGCCGAGATCGTGCCACTGTACTCCAGCCTGGGCAACAGAGTAAGACTCCATCTCAAAAAAAAAAAAAAAGTGTTATTGTTATATGAAGACAGAATTAAAGAACAAGAGAATCAGTGTTCTGCTAGAAAGACTAAAGATATTTTTAAATAAGAATCTGGGCCGGGCGCGGTGGCTCACGCCTGTAATCCCAGCACTTTGGAAGGCCGAGGCGGGCGGATCACAAGGTCAGGAGATCGAGACCATGGTGAAACCCCGTCTCTACTAAAAATACAAAAAATTAGCCGGGCGCAGTGGCGGGCGCCTGTAGTCCCAGCTACTCGGGAGGCTGAGGCCGGAGAATGGCGTGAACCCGGGAGGCGGAGCTTGCAGTGAGCCGAGATTGCGGCCACTGCACTCCAGCCTGGGCGACAGACAGCGAGACTCCGTCTCAAAAAAAAAAAAAAAAAGAATCTGGTCTGTTGGATAAACTCCTAAAAATAAACAAGAATAAATACATTCAAGCTAGGGTTCCCAGTCAGAGAGCCTCTTCTGCCTAAGATTTAATTGTGTGAGACACTTGCCATAGTCCATGTATTGTCCAGTAATCCGGAGGGTCTCTACAGTCGTTTTGAATTTTCTAGGGAGAAAATATAAAAAGAAAATGATTGGTTCTTTATTAAAATACACTTAGAACCCTATTAAAATACATTTAGCAACTAGTTGCAACATATGCCAATGAGATACAGGTACTGTGCTAATAACACAAGCTAAAACCAGTGTTAGTTCATAATAAATTGCTTACAACAACACATCCATGAGGAAGCTACTCTAGGGCTGGATGTTCTAAGCCAATCCTCAAACAACTGACTTAATAGAAACAGCCATTTTTGTTAAGCCATTCCTCAAATATTTGACTTAACAGAAACAGGTGCTTTTACGAGCCGAGCACAGTGGTTCACGCCTGTAATCCCAACACTTTGGGAGGCCAAGGCGGGTGGTTCAACTGAGGTCAGGAGTTCTAGACCAGCCTGGCCAACGTGGTGAAACCTCATCTCTACTGAAAACACAAAATTGGCCGGGTGTGGTGGCAGGCGCTTGTCGTCCCTGTTACTCTGGAGGCTGAGGCAGGAGAACTGCTTGAACTCAGTGAACCGAGATCACGCCATTGCACTCCAGCCTAGGTGACAAGAACAAAACTGTGTCTCAAAAAAAAAAAAAAAAAAAAAAAAGACTGGGTACGGTGGCTCATGCCTGTAATCTCAGCACTTTGGGAGGTGTTGGGCAGATCACGAAGTCAGGAGATCGAGACCATCCTGGCCAACCTGTGAAATCCTGTCTCTACTAAAAGTACAAAAATTAGCTGGGCATGGTGGCACGCGCCTGTAATCCCAGCTACTCAGGAGGCTGAGGCAGGAGAATCGTTTGAACCAGGAAGGCGGAGCTTGCAGTGAGCCGAGATTGTGCCACTGCACTCCAGGCTGGCGACAGAGTGAGACTCCATCTTAAAAAAAAAAAAAAAAAAGCTGTTTTTGTTAAGCCAATCTGATGGGAACACTCTCATTTGCCCAGAGATAATTTACTTAACACACACCCGAAAATACATGTTTAAGGACAAAAGGCTGAGAGTATCCTGCTAAACTAATACTTGTTCAGGTACCAAGTCTAAATAGATTAGTGAAATAATAAGTATCAAAAAATTTGGAGCCAGAAAAATAAAAAGGTAAGGAGTATATCCTTAATCACCATCATAAAGATAAAACAATAGAGAAAAAAAATCTCAGCTTAGCATTTTTTAAGTACCTTCAAATTGTTTAGCTAAAATGGAGTTTTTCCAAAACAGTCATCTGGAAATATATGTGGGCTATGGAAGCAGATGAAGCACAGGGCATGCCTGGCCCAACACAGTGGGGGCAGCAAAGGAAAGCATAAGTCTGAGCCCAGAGGACCCGCCCGGGCACCAGGGTCCATCCCGCCCAGCGCTTTCCCCGAATTTGCCTTTTGTGGGAGGCAGCTTCAGCTCACGGTTGATCTGGAAAGGAGGGGGAGTCTGGTTCAGCTGAGAGGTGTCAGCTACTGAACGTCTGAGCGGCAAAATGCCTGGAAACAGAGCAATCTCTAGTATTAGAAATGAGCAAGACTGGGCTGGGCGCAATGGCGCAGGCCTATAATCCTAGCACTTTAAAAGGCCAAGGCAGGTGGATCACTTGAGGTCAGGAGTTCAAGACCAGCCTCGCTGACATAATGAAACCCTGTCTCTACTAAAAATACAAAAAGGCCGGGCGCGGTGGCTCAAGCCTGTAATCCCAGCACTTTGGGAGGCCGAGGCGGGCGGATCACAAGGTCAGGAGATCGAGACCACAGTGAAACCCCGTCTCTACTAAAAATACAAAAAATTAGCCGGGCGCGGTGGCGGGCGCCTGTAGTCCCAGCTACTCAGGAGGCTGAGGCAGGAGAATGGCGGGAACCCGGGAGGCGGAGCTTGCAGTGAGCCGAGATCGCGCCACTGCACTCCAGCCTGGGCAACAGCGTGAGACTCCGTCTCAAAAAAAAAAAAAAATAAAATAAAATAAAATAAAAAAAAATAAAAATACAAAAATTAGTTGGGCATGGTGGTGGGCTCCTATAGTTCCAGCTACTTAGGAGGCTGAGGCAGGAGAATGGCTTGAACCCAGGAGGCGGCGGTTGCAGTGAGCCGAGATCGCACCATTGCACTCCAGCCTGGGCGATAGACCGAGACTCCTTCTCAAAAAAAAAAAAAAAAAAAAAAAAGAAATGATCAAGGGCATAATTTGAGCCAGATAAGCGAAACTGCATTTTCATTTGTCAACAGAAAAATCAGTTGAGGAAGTAGAACAGAAAGTCCTTACTGCTCAGTGCTAGAGGAAGAGGGTCAGACGCCAAAACCTGTAACTTCACCTCTGCCGCCCAACCCCATCCCTCAGGGAACCCAGTTCAAAGCCAGAAGCTGGGCTCCTTTCCTGGGGGCACTGCGGAGAGCAAAGCCTGCACCACACGGGGCTCTGAGGGCTCTGCACAGCACTCGGTTCCCAGGCCTGCCTGCGTGGAGCTGTGGGAGAGCCCAGGACACTGGGAACCCCAGACAGACCAAGCACCTTTGACACAAGCATCTCATCAGACAGGGCACCAGGGACGGCCCTCACTGCCTAGGAGGACACCTGGGCTGAAACAGAACCCTTCACCATGGCTGCCTGGTAGGAAATACACTCCCTAACAAGGACATTTTGCTACAGATTTTTAAAAAATCTTTTTCTAAAGCCTCAAGGCAAAGATGTGCCTCCATGCATATTTACATTAGTGTGCAGGGACACACCCACATTTTGTCATGTAAGTGCCTCCCCGAATGCAGAGCAGCTGGGTCTCAGGCCCTGGAGGCAGATCCTTCAGTGTGGGTCAAAGACAGTGCTTAAGTTCAAGCTCCTCCTCCATGGTCCTTGGTGGTCCTTCCTTCCGTAGGAACCAAGGACTCCAGGAATCCCTCACTATATCTCAGAACGCCAGCCACACTCCCAACAACTGAAAGTTGGTGCCAAGCAGCTTCCGGCTCCTCCTGTCCACTGCCCCTACCCCAAGGCAAGGAAACAGCACCAGGAGCGCAATGTTAAGTCCGCAAAACTGAAAACGGGGCAATCTCATGTATAGAAATGAGCAAGAGCATAATTTGAGCCAGATAAGCAAAATTTCATTTTCATTTGTCATCAGAAAAATCAGTGAGGAAGTAGAAGAGAAAATCATTAACGCTCAGTGCTAGAGGCAAAACATAAAGCCTGCGTGCTCCTGACAGAATGTGGAGCTAGCTCAGCAATACGATGAAACACTGTAGAAGTGTGCGAGGCACACCAGGGTCGGCTTGATACACTGAGCAGGGCAGGCCCTGAGGGGCAGATCCAGGCAGCGTCCTGGCTCTGGGTGCTCCAAGGAGAAGGGCCCGGACACTGATGGGACATTGAAGGGATGTGGGGCATGGAGCAAAACAGAGCCAGATGAAGAGGGGCCAGCCTGGAGGGCTGTGGGTGCCATGGGTGCCAAGCACAGCAAAAGGAGGCAGGGATGCTCTTGGGTCCTCTTCACTCACAGGACATGTTAATAAGATGTTCAATAATGTCCAATACATGGAGGGATGTAGGGACCAGCCCTACAGGGTCTGTGGGTTTTTCTCCTCATGTGCAGAGGTGAGAGATTGTAGAAATAAAGACACAAGACAAAAAGATAGAAGAAAAGACAGCTGGGCCCGGGGAACCACTACCACCAAGACGTGGAGACCAGCAGTGGTCCCGAATGCCTGGCTGAGCTGTTATTTATTGGATACAAGGCAAAAGGGGCAGGGTAAGGAGTGTGAGTCATCTCCAATGATTGATAAGGTCATGTGAGTCACGTGTCCACTGGACGGGGGGGCCCTTCCCTGTTTGAGAGAGAGAGAGAGAGGACACCTTACGCCATTATTTCGTCTTCAAAGACTTTTAGTGCTTTCACTAATTCTGCTACTGCTATTTAGAAGGGAGAGCCAGGTGTACAGGATGGAACATGAAAGTGAAACAGGGGTGTGACCACTGAAGCACAGCATCATGGGGAGATGGTTAGGCCTTCGGATGGCTGTGGGCAGGCCTGACTGATGTCAGGCCTTCCACAAGAGGTGGTGGAGCAGAGTCTTCTCTAAGTCCCCCCGGGAAAGGGAGACTCCCTTTCCCAGTCTGCTAAGTAATGGGTGCCTTCCCTAGGCACTGACGCTACGGCTAGACCAAGGTCTGCTAAGTAAGGGTTTCCTTCCCAGGCACTGGCGTTACCGCTAGACTAAGGAGCCATCTAGTGGCCATGTATGGGCACGACAGAGGCTCACACTTGTCTTCTGGTCACTTCTCACGGTGCCCCTTCAGCTCCTATCTCTGTATGGCCTGGTTTTTCCTAGGTTATAATTGTAGAGCAAGGGTTATTATTGGCCGGGCGCGGTGGCTCAAGCCTGTAATCCCAGCACTTTGGGAGGCCGAGACGGGCGGATCACGAGGTCAGGAGATCGAGACCATCCTGGCTAACACGGTGAAACCCCGTCTCTACTAAAAAATACAAAAACTAGCCAGGCGAGGTGGCGGGCACCTGTAGTCCCAACTACTCAGGAGGCTGAGGCAGGAGAATGGCGGGAACCCGGGAGGCGGAGCTTGCAGTGAGCTGAGATCCGGCCATTGCACTCCAGCCTGGGCGACAGAGCGAGACTCCGTCTCAAAAAAAAAAAAAAAAAAAAGGATTTTTATAATATTGGAATAAAGAGTAATGCTACAAACTGATGATTAATAATATTCATATATCATCATATCTATAATCTATTTATAGTATAGCTCTTCTTGTTTTATATATTTTCTTTATTATACTGGAACAGCTTGTGCCCTCGGTCTCTTGCCTTGGCACCTTGGTGGCTTGCCACCCACAGAGGGAGGAGTCGAACTGAGACTTGCTGTGGGTTGAACTGTGTCCTCCCAAAAGATATATCCCCGTCCTAACCCCTCCTCCCATCTGTGAACATGATGTGTGAACATGTGTGAACATGATGTGTGAACATGATGTGTGAACATGTGTGAACATGATGTGTGAACATGATGTGTGAACATGATGTGTGAACATGTGTGAACATGATGTGTGAACATGATGTGTGAACATGATGTGTGAACATGTGTGAACATGATGTGTGAACATGATGTGTGAACATGTGTGGACATGATGTGTGAACATGATGTGTGAACATGTGTGGACATGATGTGTGAACATGATGTGTGAACATGTGTGGACATGATGTGTGAACATGTGTGAACATGTGTGGACACAGACACAGGGTCTTTGCAGATGTCATCAAGTTAAGATGAGGTGATACCAGATTAGGGTGGGCCCTAAATCCAATTACTGGTGTCTTCATCAGAAGAGACACAGAGACACAAAGTGGAGAGCACACTGTGAAGGAGAGGCAGAGATTGGGGTAATGGGTCACCCAGGAACGCAGAGGACCACGGGTCCTTACTAGAAGCTAGCAGAGAAACAGAACAAACTCTCTCAGAGCCCTCCAGGAGGAACCAACCCTTCTGACCCCTAGGCTGAGACTTCCCCTTTCAGAACTGTGAGAATAAATTCCTGAGGCTCTTAGCCACCCAGCTTGTGGCACTTTGTTACAGCAGCCCTGGGAAGCTCACACACAGCCCTCCTGGGGCAGTCTCTGCAGGAGACACCGCCCACCCACCAGAGCAGTGCCCACCTCCTGCACCAGCAGCGTGGGTGCCCTGGACGGGCACATGCACGCAAACCTCTCTTCACAGGGCTCCCCAGGCCCCAGGGCCCGTCAAGGCAGAAACACTCACCTCGCATACTGTCTCAGGCCAGTGCTGAACCATAATCAGCTTTTTCCACTCATGGTTGTCACTGTTAAAACACAAGAAACTTATTTTTCAAGAACTTTTTTAAAGTTACAGAAAAAATTCATCCACCCATCCATCCCTTCATTCATTCAGCATTGAGTGCCTGTGGGACGAGGAACACTGCCTGCCCTGCTGCTGCGCACACTCCTGTGAGGAAGGCGGTAAACCCCTACACTAAGAAGGCACACGTGGTGGTGTCCAGTGCTGAGTGGCAGTGAACATGAATAGGAGAAGGGGAGGAGGGGAGAGGAAGGGAAGCAGAGGCAGGGCAAGCTGGGAGGGCAGCCAGGGAGGTCCTCACTGAAGGGAAGCCACTGAGCCACGAAGCACCTTTCTCCTAAGGATGCTCAAGAGAAACGCAGACCCACCATCCCTCCCCTGCATTCGTGAAACCCATAAAAGTTTGAAACCTGGCAGTTTTTTGTAATTCACTCGGCAACAAAACATAACCTGAACTAGCATAACGTTATTTATCGTCACTACCCTGACTCAGTTTTTAGATTTCACTTGCTTCTCTGCAGGATGTGTCCTTTGATTTTAGGGTGCTACTTCAGATGCCACCAGGACTGTTAACTTGAACACAGTATGTGCACTGCATCCTGAATGTTATCCAGGACATGGTATGCACACAGCACTGCATCACATGTGTTACCCAGAACATGGGGCCACACTAGATCACAAACCTGAACACTGAAACTCATCTGACTCTAAGACCTCACAGAAGCCACTGTGGAGCTTCAGCTTATTCATGGCAGGAGGCCTCTAGCCAGATCTGCAAGACTTAACAATGAGACTGAAGTAAAAAGTGCAGCTTGCAAAAAATGCACATGGAAAAAGCCAGCAGCAACACAGGAATATAAGTCAAGCAGACACTTCAGGATAAATCAAATTTTAGAAGAGAAGATTCCAAGTAAAAAGATCAAGTTGTTACACATTAGCTTTTGTGAATAATTGAGTCCTATTGAACTTGTATAAAATTTACAATTAAGATGGTATGAAAACTTAGTTGTACGTTGGAACTAATTATGCAAGCTCTCAGCACAAAAGGAAAAAAGGGTTCAAGCACGGTGGCTCACACCTATAATCCCAGCACTTTGGGAGGCGGAGGCGGGCGGATTGCTTGAGCTCAGGAGTTCAAGACCAGCCTGGGCAATATGGTGAAACCCTGTCTCTACAAAAATTAGCCAGGTGTGGTGGCATGAACCTGTAGTCCCAGCTACTTGGAAGGCGCTAAGGCAAGAGGATAGCTTGAGCCCAGGAGGTGGAAGTTGCAGTGAACCCAGATTACATCACTGCACTCCAACCTGGGCGACAGAGCCAGACCTTGTCTCAAAAAAAAAAAAAAAAAAAAAAGGATGAGCTGCAGGGTGAGAATTAAAGCTGGGAAAAGCCTTAAAGACTTTTTTACCCTTGGGTGCAAAAACCTTATTTTACATAGATGGAAACTGAGGCTGGAAAGCTTAGCAACGCCCAGGAAGATGAGACTATCAATATGCTTACAACAAAACTACCAAGATTCAGACATTCGTAACAAAATCTCCATGTACAACCAGGCAAAGAGTGGTGTGAGTGCAGGAGACCCCCTCCCACACACACGCCCCCTCCCCTATTCATGGAGAAAGTAATGGAGAAGCTAAAGAAAGTCTAAGAAGAAAGAAAAATCACCAAGGTCTCAAACCCAGTTAGAACTTGGGAAAATACCCGCTGATCTGTGAAGCCCTGGTGGTCTGAATCAACCACATTCTGGCAAATCTTGCCTACTCAAGGTTGTCCGATTATATCAGCTGCATGAATTATGGGGTGGGATGGGGGATCCACATATGACAGCCTGTTTTATGCTAACATCATTCCAAGTACATTCTGTACTTTAACTGATTTCTCCTGAAGCCAACTCTGTGAGGCAGACTGTTACTATTTCTACTTTACAAAAGAGGAAACTGCAAAGCAAAGAGCTGAAACGTCCCACACCTGGCTGTGAACTAGCAGTTCCCACTCAGCCAGCACCGGTCAGCACGCCACGGACTTCCCCAATGAGAGGCTCTGAACCTCATGGCCAATAAATAAGGACATAAATGTAGCTCTTTTTCAGAAAATACATTTTCTGGAACATTGAAATATAATGCTACCTTTTAATGTATAAGATTAAAAAAAAAATCTAAGGTGTTTAAAAAGTAAAACCCTGGCCAGGTGCGGGGACTCATGCCTGTAATCCCGGCACTTTGGGAGGCCGAGGCGGGCGGATCACCTGAGGTCAGAAGTTCTTAAATACAAAATACAAAACTTAGCCAGGCGGTGGTGTGTGCCTGTAATCCCACCTATTTGGAGGCTGAGGCAGGAGAATCGCTTGAATCCGGGAGGCGGAGGTTGCAGTGAGCTGAGATCACGCCACTGTACTCCAGCCTGAGTGACAGAGCAAGACTCTGTCTCAAAAATAATAATAATAATAAATAAATAAATAACAAGTACAACCCACCTTTTCAACAACTTCTATGTAAGTAAGAAATCATTTTATTAATCCGATCATTACCCAAATAGAAGGAAAAAACTATGGTATTCAAATATTGGTGTCTTCCACAGAATTAAAGTTGGAATTCTTTGCAGCAACGCCTGTTTACCCCTAATTAATCTGGGCGGCTGCCCGCCCCCACCCCCGCGCGCGCACACACACACACACAGACACACACACACACAAATAGGGAGGGAGAGCCAGGGTAAGGGATTCAGAACAGGCCACTCAAAAAGAGGAAGAACAGTCGTTTCACCACCCGCTGCAGTGGAAGCTAAAATTAAGCGTCCCCTCCACGACTTCGACCTCTGGGAGAACTTCGAGTGCAGGAACCGTGCTCCACCAAGCCTGCCACCTGCTCTGTCGCGTTCTAGGCTGGGAGCTGTCTGTGGGACCAGTTTCCAGTCCTGCTCCAGGCCGGAGTGTACCCAGAACCTCACCCTACCCCCTACTCCTTCCCAGGGGTCACCCCGGGGAGTGCTCAGGGCTCCCCCCCGCAACCCACTTCTTCCCAGGAGTTACCCCGGAGCGTGCTCAGGGCTCCCCCCAACCCACTCCTTCCCAGGGGTCACCCCGGAGCGTGCTCGGCTCTCGCTGCCCTCCCCAGTCGCTGCCCGGGGCTCAGCGAGCGCCGACCCCGAGAGTAGCAGCCTGCACCCCGTGGAAAGCTCTAGGGCCCGGCTCCCACGCTCCCCACTTTACCTCGCAAGGTAACTCACCGCAGGCGCTTGTCCGCACCGCCCAGGCAAAGCAACGCCAGGTAGAGGCAGCCCAGCAGGGCCCCGCGTAGGGCTGCAGGTCGCATGGTGCCGACCTGCGGAGAGGACGCGGCCTGCTGCCGCTCCGGCCCCCACTTTCCGCCTGCGGCCCGAGGAATGCTTCCGGGAGAAAAGCTGTCTCCGAGACCCCGCGCCGCCGCGCTCCCTCCGCTGAGCAGCGGCCACCGGGTGCGCCCGGGGCCCTGGGACGGCCTGAGCCAGTGACTCGCGGGCCCCTCGCCGGGCTCTGAGAATTGCAGCAGCAGCCCTGGCGACCCAGGCCCCTTGGAGCTCCCCTTCAGGTTCGTGCACCAAGCGCGCACGTCCCGGGCCCACCGCGATCCCAGCTCCTCCGCGCTGCAGCCACCGTCCGCCCACGACCACGGTCAGTTGCGTCCAGCCCAGCCCAGCCCAGCCGAGGACGCCCTGTTGGCCTGCACCGGAGCAGAGAGCCACGCCCCCAGTACGACACGCCCCCGCCGGCGGACACGCCCCCCCAGAACGCCCCTTCCCCTCCCGGCGTTCACGTCCCGCCCCGCCCCGCGGCTGGCCGGGAGAGGCAGAGGTCAGAGCAGGTCCGCGGGCTTTGCGGGCGTGTCAGGCAGCTGTGTTCCTTCGCCACGCAGGCACCCCGCGCCTTCCCACGCAGCTCTGCGCCACTCTCCCACTCCCGGGTCGGAGCTAGCCTGGACCACCCGTGAGGACCGCCCTCGGGGGGACAGCCCGTGTCTGCGCCACCCCCGCCAGCAAGTGGGCGTGCGGGCCCCAGGGTCACCCGGCGCTCCAGGGACAGCCATCATCTGCGGCCCGCAAGCCGCACCCGCTCTCAAAAACTGCGCCCTGCAAACTGCCCGGGACCTCCTGACTGCAGGCGGTGCTTGGCCGCCCAGGCTTCCCGCAGCCTCCGGCCTCCTCGGCGCACCACTGAGCAGCCCGAGGGACGGCTCCAGAATTAGGAAGGGACCTACTCGGGCCACTCCCCTGGAAACCTCTCCGGTCTCCCGGTGCTAGGTGCTGGGAGCACCAACATTCCTAGAAGGGCCTGGCCCTCACCCAGCCCTGGGCGTCACCTGCCCCTCCCCGCGGGCCCCAGGAGCCCGGAAGGCATCTCTGTGGGGTCCGCAAAGAGCCGCCTCGGGGCGCGACCTGGGAAGTCATCTTGTGAGGGATCCCCTCCTAGAGGGACGGGCCACCCCCCACGGATGAAGGAGACTTCATGGCAGCCCCACCTTGGCGCAGCCAGGCCCAGTCCCAGAGGCCCGGACTCCTCCCCCCACACCCTGGCCTTCCCAGCCCTTCAAAGGCGCGGGTTTCCCCGCACCCCCGCCCCGCCCACGGGCTGTGCACCCGGAAGTGTCTCTGCAGATGTTTCTCCTCTCTCCCTTCCCCGCCCGCACACCCACGGCTAGTTAAGGCCATTCCTATTTACATGTCAAGTAAACTGCAGCTTCCTCGGAGTCCTCTGCCACTGGTAACTGTCTAAATAGCAGGTGGGCCTGTAGCCAGCTCTCCCACAGGCCTGGACCTTGCCTGCATACATCACCATTATTTGAAACAAAATATTTAAATAATTATTCAGTTAATATCTGTCTTTCCCTCTAGGCTGCAAGGCGAGACCCATGTCTATTTTGCCCACCTTGAGTCCCCGCCACTGAGCACAGTGGATGAGGGACAGTTGGTCCTCAAAAAAATGCCACCTCTGGAACAGATGGGGGACGGCCGACATCTCCTTAGCTCCTCCAGGACCTCCGACAGGTCATGGTGTTATTCTCGTTCTCCTTTTCCTTAACGACTTCTTTCTGGCTCTTTTCATTCCTTCCTCTCAAGGATATAGACACAAGCCACAGTTCTTTTTCTCTTTTCTTTTAAACTAAAAAATAATTTTCTTAAAACAAAAGTACTTCCCAGAATCCTCATTTTCCCTTAAATCACAGTCCAGTCTGTTTAAACATCCCCTTGTCAAGGGGGGCTGTTGTGACCACTGCCAGATATAAAGCAAATCTGGATTCAGGGAGGAGCGGCATTATGAGGAGCATTATTGCAGGGGCCTGGGGGCCTTTAGTCTCTACTAAAAATACAAAAATTAGCTGGGCAGAGTGGCATGTGACTGTAATCCCAGCTACTCCCGAGGCTGAGGCAGGAGAATCACTTGAACCCGGGAGGCAGAGGTTGCAGTGAGCCGAGATCGCGCCAGCCTGGGCTGCACTCCAGCCTGGGTGACAGAGTGAGACTCCGTCAAAAAAAAAAAAAAAAAAAAAAAAGAAAGAAAGAAAACAGGAAGAAACAAAACAAAGAGAGAGAAAGAACCAACTGGGAATGGAGAAGTGGGATGAGAACCTACCTTCATAGGACATTAGGTCAGAGAAGGTTGACCCCTTGACCAGCCTGTTCTCTCAGGAGGGACTGACTCAGGCTAAGATGAGGCTCAGCCTCGGGGGAAGAGAGGAGCCTCACCAAGTTTGCTTAGCAAGTGTGTTATTCCTATTGATCAGCTCATCATTGATGAGGCGAAGAATGGGAATTGGAGGATCTGTGTCTGCCTTTGTCCTAAGTAATGGGTGCGGGGGTGGAGTGAGGGAGCATCTGTCACTCTTTTTTTTTTTTTTTTTTTTGGAGACAGCACCCGGCCGCATCCGTCACTCTTATCACTCTTATCTATGTCATGTGGGGAAGAAGGGGGTCTCTCGCAGGAAGCCATTTTCCAGAACTCTCGGGATTTTTAATCGGATCATAGGGCTCAGATAAATTCAGCAGCGTCCTACCCAGCCTGAAGGAGCCACTCAGTCATTTCCTGTTGCACTTCCTTGTTTATTTTCGACACAGCTCTCCCTACCCCTGAGAGTTCCTGTCACCTCCTCCTGTACTGCCCGCTCCTACTCCCCCACCCCTGCATGGGAAGCTAATGAGGAACTTCAGCCCCTCGCTGGCCTGGGCCCCACCAAGACCCCAGATCTCATTCCGTATCCACAATTTTACCTTCTTGTTCTTGAAGAAGGACATCCAAATGGAAAAGCTCTCAACCCCCCAAAACTTGGGTGTGAACCTGGAGCATCTGTCATCTGTCTTGACTACTTGTCCACCTACCAGGATCCTAAACAGAACCCTACATAGGGGAGAGGCAGCGGCTGTAAGGGCTGGATTTGGCTCTGGAAGCCGCCCAGCTTTACAGAAACAAAGAGGGCTCCAGCATCAAGCAGGTGGGCAGGGGCCAGAATGGGAATTACATTGGCTCCCACAACATAGTGTAAATGGGTAAAACTATGAGATTTAAAAGATGCTGCTGGCTTGTGTAGAAACATGTCCTCAGGAGAGGGGAGGGGGACAGGATGGCAACATCCATGTCTGTGAACAGACATCCTTAAATCCTTGTTAATTCTGAAGAGACTGAGATACTTTCACCACAAAACTCTTCTCGGCTTTAGCTCCAGGTTTCCTGTTTCCATGCCAGCTTTTGCTGGGTTATGCTACAATAATACACCGCCCCCAAATCTCAGTGTCTCACTTCAACAGAAGTTGATCATTTATCATTCATTTGCTCACATTCCATGCTGGCTGTGGGTCAGACGCCACTGTGGTCCCCAGTCTTTTTCACTCTGGAACCCAGGCTGTAGGAACAGCCCATATCTGGTGCTGGCCATTCCAATGGCAGAGCAATGGCACAGCTACACAGTTTAGGATTCTCAAGTTCGAAAGAGCTTTGTCACACTTGAAAGAATCTCACCTTAAAAACTCCTTTGCATTCTGAATTACTTATTTACTGAGAAAGTGAGGCCAACTGCTGAGTGTTTCCCTGCCCTTTCTCTTCTTTTTTTTTTTTTTTTTGAGACAGAGTCTCACTCTGTCAGCCAGGCTGAAGCGCAGTCAGTGGCACAATCACAGCTCACTGCAACCTCTGTCTCCCAGGCTCAAACAGTTCTCCTGCGCCAGCCTCTGGAGTAGCTGGGCATTCAGGCGTGTGCCACCACGCCCGGCTAATTTTTGTATTTTTAGTAGAGACAGAGTCTGACCATGTTGGTCAGGGTGTCCCAGCACATCTGGCCTTACCATGCCAGCCTGGCCACTGTGGTACACATTTTGTGGAACTCTTTTATTCTGAGCTGTGGCTATGACAAAAGGAGGACAGGCGAGAAACAGAAAAGACCGATCACGTGTTTCTCACAATATAATTTGTTCTTCAAGTGTGACTTAACTAATTGGAATCACAGGGAAAAAAACTTTTTGGAACTGGACAATAAGAATAAATCAGATCAAATAGCATGCTACTATGAAATGTGAAGCAAAGCAACGTATTACATTTAATCATGGATGTCAAATTTTCAAAGCATATTTACTCTGAAAAAGGAAAAGATAAAGACCCATGAGCTTACACACACACATACACACATGTATTCATACACATGTGGATATTAGGCTGCTTGTTTTGTAGCAGGACGAGACGCAGACGAAACTCCTCAGACACCGGATTAAAGAAGGAAGAGGTTTTTTATTCGGCCGGAAGCATGGGCAGACTTGCATCTAAAGAGCCGAGCTCTCCGAAAAAGAAATTCTTGACCTTTTTAAAGGCTTACAACTTTAAGGGGTCCACATGAAAGGGTTGTGATGAATCGAGCAAGCGTGGGAAACACGTGACTGGGGACTATGTGCATCAGCTAACAGAACAAAAAGTTTTACAACGCTTTTTTCATACAGTGTCTGGGATTTACAGATAACAGAAGTAGTTTAGGTCAGGGGTTGGTGTTATTATTATTACTTTGTTTAACTCCTAGGGCCGGGTGGTGGTGCCTAGGTTGTCTGGCTATTTATCTTACTTTTGTTTCTTTCTAACTTTTTGCTTTCTCTCTTTTGTCTTGTGAACTAGGCAAGGTAGGGGGAGGAGGGCAGCAGGAGTAGTAGTGGTCTCCTTCCTTAACTTGAGCTGTTTTATAATTATTTATCTTAAAAAGGTAAGCAAGGCATTTTAGACTTCTGAGATTTTACTACGTAACTGAGATGTTTTGCTTTAGATAAGCCCTTCTGCATTACAAATAATGGTTTAAAATTACATTAACATTTAATTTTGGCTGGGCTCCGTGGCTCACGCCTGTAATCCCAGCACTTTGGGAGGCCGAGGCAGGCAGATGACCTGAGGTCAGAAGGTCAACACCAGCCTTGCCAACAGGATTAAACCCAGTCTCTACTAAAAATAAAAAAATATTAGCCAGGCATGGTGCCAGGTGCCTGTAATCCCAGCTACTCGAGAGGCTGAGGCAGGAGAATTGCTTAAACCCAGAAGGTGGAGGTTGCAGTAAACCGAGATGTTGTCACTGTACTCCGGCCTGGGTGACAGAGCAAGACTCCCTCTCAAAAACAAAACAAAACAGTTAATTTAATAGATATTGAATAAGTATTTTTTTAAAACTTTCAGCTTTTATTTTAAATTTGGGGGTACCTGTGCAGGTTTGTTACACAGGTATACTGCATGATGCTGAGGTTTGGGGTATGTTCATCCTGTCACCTG